TAGTTAAGTTTATGAACAAGATATCACTTGGGAACATTTCAAAAGAAGTAAACTTTGGATGGGATTTATCATCTGATCCATGTACCAACAAATGGGAAGGGATAACTTGTGATTCAAGAAACCAACATGTAAAAAATATTGTTCTTGATCAGAAGAATCTCACTGGAATTCTTGATGCTTCTTTTGTCTGTGAGGCTACTTCCCTTGCTGTACTGAGCTTGAACGAAAACGAAATTGTAGGAACATTACCTCAAGAAATATCAAACTGCAGACGTCTCACACATTTGTATCTGCGTGGCAACAAATTATCAAGCAACTTACCAAGCTCTCTTTCGCGGTTGAGCAATTTGAAAAGGTTTGTAATTTCAGGCAATGCCTTCTCGGGGCAGATACCAGATATGTCAAGAATCTCAGGGCTGATAACTTTTTTGGCTGAAAGAAATCAGCTAACAGGGCAGATACCAGAATTTGATTTTTCCAATCTTGTAGAATTCAATGTCTCATACAATAATTTAACTGGTCCAATTCCTGATGTCAAGGGCCAGTTTAGTTCCAGCTGTTTTTTGGGTAATCCCGGATTATGTGGAGTGCCATTGCCAAGCATATGTCCACCCTCGCCACCTCCACCTCCCCATCCAGTTGCTAAGGAGAAAAAAGTTTCATACTTTATTTATCTTGGCTATGCTATTCTTGGGCTGATTATCATACTTCTACTTGTATGGAAGCTTTTTAAGTGCATAAGGAAGAAAAAGAGCAATAGTACTCCAATGGATCACAACAAGACTATTAGCTCTTCTGGTGTTACAAAGACTCCTAAAAATAGGTCAGAATATTCAATAACATCTAGTCCCGAAAACTCTATGCTCTCAGCATCATTTGAAATCCTTTCAAGTCCTCTGGCTAATAAACTGAGATTCGAGGATTTGCTTCGAGCTCCAGCTGAATTGATTAGGAAAGGAAAACATGGAAGTGTTTACAAGGTCAATGTTGATGGAGTGACATTGGTAGTAAAGAGGATCAGTGGTTGGAATATTTCGAAAGACGATTTCAAGAAGAGGATGCAGAGAATACATAGAATGAAGCATCATCATGTATTGCCCCTTGTTGCCTTCTATAGTTCCAAACAAGAGAAGCTAACAGTTTACAAGTACCAACAGAATGGCAGTCTATTCAAGCATCTCCATTGTAAGTTTTATTAGCGCAAACTTGATTATTCTCACTTGAATTTCAAGCCATAGAATGATACATGAGTAATAGGCCTTCCTGTAAGAACTATCAAGAATTGATATCAGTAAAGGAATATGTTAGATAGAGCTATAGTCAATTTCCAGATCCAGGGTCTAGCTAAGTCAAAATCTTTTAAGTATTTTGTCGGTCTACATTTCTCTGACTCTCCAAAATGTTGCCACACCTGTGTCAGATCCTCCAATAATGCATTAATTTTGGAGGATCCGACACGCACCTGTCTGACATTTTTGAAAAGTCTGAGTAACATAGTTGTCGGTTGATGAAGTAAGAAAGAAACTATAGTAATTAGTATTATTAGTTTGGGTAGCGAGATAAGTGATCTGATTGTATCAATATCTTTTTCTCCGTCAGTGAATAGAACTTAAAACTCTTAAAAATAATCAAGTAGTAACTAGTTTGTCTATTATACTTTGAGAATGAACATGGAAAGGTAAAGTTACTGCATAACTGCTCATTTCAGCATCTCAGGGCAGCCAAGTTTTCGAGTGGGCGAGCAGATTAGCTATTGCATCCAGTCTTGCAGAAGCCTTAGCTTTTATGCATGAAGGCCTTCAGAATGATGATATTCCTCATGGAAACATGAAATCCACCAACATTCTGCTGAATGATGACATGGAAGCCTGTATCGGCGAGTATGGTCTAATGCCCAACAATCAAGACCAGTCATTTGTTGCTCAAAGTGATCATAGCATCAGAGAAGATGATTCAGTTGCAATTACTGCACGTAACGCCTTCAATATGGATGTTTATAGTTTTGGAGTGATTCTTCTTGAATTGCTCACAGGGAAGCCTGTTCAGGCTAGTGGATATGATTTGTCTAGGTGGGTAAATTCAGTAGTTAGAGCGGAATGGACTGGTGAAGTTTTCGACAAGTCCCTTATTACAGAGGGTGCAAATGAAGAAAGAATGATCAATCTGTTGCATGTAGCTCTCAAATGCATAAATACATCACCAGATGCAAGGCCTAACATGAAGGAAGTTGCTTTCATCATCAATTCTATCAAGGAAGATGAAGAGAAATCCGTGTCCGCGTTCAGCTAACAAATCAAACACAGGGCTCCAATCCAAAGGCCTGGATACAAAATTTCCTATTTATACTTTTCTTGTTTGGACAAATGCTCTATCATTTGATTTGGCTACAGAGCTTCACAAATCACTCTGGTAAATTGTTAAGAACAAATATTCTTTTGCTTTCTTGTGTTTATTCAGGATGACATGAGACGATTCGATTGATCTGATACATGATAAGGTAAATTGTTAAGAACAAAAATACTTTTTCAATTAAGATTTTATCAAAGTTATAAGAGAAGCTCAAATCATGGAGTCTACATCCTTTTCAAAACTTGAAATTTTTTTGGCTTTCTATAGCACATCACTAATATATTTTAACACTAGTTATTTGCATTAAGTTTAACAGTTGTCCTGTAGAATTACAAATCAGATATGTGTGAAATGTGAATCACTCACTGGACATGGAATCTGGCTAGATTGAGAGCAAATATTTCCACAACTACTCAGCTCATAAGTCATTATTTTGTGAACTGTTTCTTCTAGTTCTAGATAACCTAATGACCTTTGAAAATTTCCAGTAAGACTTGGGGCCATTTGGAGATGATTTTAAATTGTAATTTGAAATCGCTGATTTGAAGTTGAAATTTTGTATGGACTTCCCCACAATTATGAAAAACTACCAAAACTTTTTCCAACTCTTATACAATCTTATCAAATAAGCAAATCACAGTTCATAAACAAGGTATATATCCTAAGGTGTCACATATCTACAGACTACATATTTCTTTTACAAATACACATAATATAGTAACTAACTATTCTTTTATTAATTTTTTCAAGTGGTACAAACGATCTCTTTACGTCAAGCATTACTTTTTATTTTTCCTTACAAAATTTAACATGACAAGTCTTTTCAATAAAAAAAATAAAACTTGACATCAAGTTTTATATTATTTTTAAAAAAAAAACTGAATTCATAACTTGGAATTTAAAATCCTATTCATTTACCTTTGAAAATTAGTAATTTCAAATTTAAGTTGAAGTTTTGTACATATTTTCATTTTAAAAAATTTGATTTCGATTCAAAATTTCAAATTTGAACCTCAATATCTATGGCCAAATGCGTACTTAATTATACCTTAAAATGGTTATTGAACTATCATCAATCTTGTCAAAGAAACATCACCATATTTTCTATTGGGCAAGTAGAACAAACATGAAAAGCAGACAGTTTTCCAACAACTTTTAATCTGTCACATAGATTAAGTAGCAGTTGCCCCACAATCAACATCTTCAATGATTCTATTGCTTAACAAATATCCCATGCGCTTCCTTGTCCATCATATATCAAAAGTCAATTCAGGTTAAACGCGAATCTAAATAAGTCGGGCTAGTAAAGTTTCAAATGGTTAAAACAAAAGTTGAAGAAATCTTTATTATTATTATTTGCCAACTGAACAGTGTTGTCCTTTTTTTTCTTCCCCTCTATCACGGGACCATCATTGAGAAAGTGCGACAAAAATACATAATTAAGGCCAAAGTTTTATAATATGGCAAGTAGACCTACAAGGAAGAGTATAAAACTTGCTTGACAATGAGGCAATATAGAAGAAAATAATATATATTTTCTATAGTGACAAATGGACATAAATAGCCGGCTACCAAAATAATAACCAATTAATATATATTTTTGATACAAAATAATATATATTTAACTAAGGAATGTAATTATTTCTAACTGACTCACCAAATTTGTAACTTTGGCTTAAAATAATACGTATACACCTATACGAAAAGTAGTGGACCAAACTATTATGCCATGTTTTCTTTGTGGGGCTTGACTTATATTTGTCAAACTTAAAGATGGGAAAAAAAGCAATATGAACGGGAGATTTCTTAATCATTAATTGCAATGATTTAGTATCATTTTAACTACCCATTTGTTAATTAATTTTAATTTAGAAAAACTAGTTTTTGTTACAAGGTTGCGTGATGAATGCACCTTCAAATATACTACTAAAATGAAAGTAGTAGAAACATTAATTAGTTCCTAACAAACCAAACAAATTGACTTCACAATGAAACTACTCTCCGGTCTCAATTATTACGATTCACTCTCTTTATAATATTTATTTATTAAGTAATCACACAAATATTTATAATTTATTTTAGATCATAAATTTTAAAAATCTTTTTTTTATATTAAATTTGACGTTAAATCAAATTATATTACATCAATTGAGACGTAGACATAGACGGAGGTAGTATTATGTAGTGTTTCAATTAATCCACGAGGGACAATGTTGTCCAGGGAATAAGATAATTGTATCCACAAAATACACAAAAAGGACGCAGTGACAAAGACATATGTGGCAATGTTTGAAAAAGTCACTTTATGTCATAAACTGCTCTGCCTTCATATTCTGAGAAGTATTGTCATCTTTGCCTTTCATTTTTTCTTCTGTTTTTCCCACATCTATGCACACTATTGACAAGTAACTTATCAAATCACTTGTGTTTGGCCACATCTTCTTCTTCTGCACCACATATCAAATCTCATATACTGTTCTGAGGTAGGTCACCTGCAATTTTTTTTTTTATTCCTTCTCTTCTGTTAGATAAAGGGTAGTCTTAAAATTCTCCATTTTATATTCTTTAGCAAATTTCTTGGAAGAAAAAAAAAGATTTGGTTTTTACCCTTTTTTGAGCTCTTTCTCTCCATTTTCAAGAATATAAAATTTTTATCCATGAGCAGAATCAGTCCAATTGTCCTATGGGGAATTGTAATTATTGCTATTGTGTTCTTTGTGTTTGGTCTTCTTCATCTTCTTCTTAGGTGTTGTTTAAAGATTTCATCTTTTTCATCAATTTCTGAATCTAATAGATTCCCTGAATCATCTGGTTCTCAAGTTATTCAAAGGCAACTTCAACAGCTATTTCGTCAGCATGATTCTGGTTTAGACCAAGTTATCATTGATACTCTGCCTCTGTTTCTCTATAAAGATATTAAAGGCCTAAAGGAGCCATTTGATTGTGCTGTTTGTTTATGTGAATTTTCAGAACATGATAAGCTCAGATTGCTCCCTTTTTGTAGCCATGCTTTTCATATTCATTGTATAGACACATGGTTACTGTCAAACTCAACTTGTCCTCTATGTAGAGGCATTATTAGTTCCACAGTTTCTATGGGAAATCCCTTATTGGGCTCAATCGAATCAAGAGAACAATGGAGTTTCCATTTGGAAGATGGAATTGCAAATGATGAAAAGCCGGACAATGTTGGAGAAATGAGAGTATTTTCTGTTCGATTAGGTAAATTGAAGAGTCTAAATGAAGGGGCCGAAAATCATGAAGACAAAAGTACTCAAGGGGAAATCATCAGCTGTAATTTAGATGCAAGGAGATGTTTCTCCATGGGTTCATTTCAATATGTTGTTGGTGATTCAGAGTTACAAATCGCGTTGCCTAATGTGAAGATTCTAAAAGCTAAGTGTGAGAACACTATTTTTGGGGCTAATGCAGAAGGAAAAAAGATCAGTGCTAGGACTAAAGGTGAGAGCTTTTCTGTTTCAAAGATTTGGCTTTGGTCCAAGAAAGGCAAATTCTCAAATTCTTCAGAAATAAATATTGGTGGACCTTCTGTTAATATTGATATACCAATGACTAAAACAACACAATTTGTGTAAACTTGTATTGAAAAATTTGTATTGCTTTTAGCATAGTTCTGAGATATACATCAAATGCCCACATACTCTTCTCTATTCCTTTTTTGGGGGATTTTAACTGAACGGGAATATAATACGTTTACGATGCATTCATTTTCGCTGTTCTTGTTGAAAGCTATATGCATTCACAACCTCCGATGTACAGAAGTTCTCCCTTCATTAATTGGATCAGGGCTTGCATATCAGTCGGTTCGTTTCGATTTTGAAGTTTATCGGTTTGATTCATTGATTATCAATTTGTAGACATGCTAAGATATTGACATATCGGTTTAATAGTTAAAATTTGACACACAAAAAAAAATCTTTGAAAATCACTTAGAAATAAGGTGACAAACCAAATGAACCATGCACATGAGTTTGCAAATTGCATTTTGCTCAAAAGTAAATATTTTACATTGTAGAATAACCAAGAGTTTGAAACATCCAGCAATAAAAGTAAGAAACTAAATTTTAAGTCAAGGACTTTATATATAAAATAATATAAATATAATTATTGAATTTACTATAGGGATATGGTTAACCTATTAAGAAAAAACATTAAGAACCGATAACCCAATAAAAAAAAAATCAAAATCGTTAAATTTATGACCTATTACTAATAAAATAATTACTTTTTTTTCTATTCGACTTTGAATGGCGTAAATGGGATAGAAAATGTTTCCACTACAATGTGAATGAAGCCCACAGGCCCTGAAGTATCTTTTGCACCAAAAAAATGACGGAATCAAAACAGGCCTTCCTAACGAGCCCAAAAGATCATATATATACACATGGCCTTATCTATAAAACAAGGGAAAATTACGCGGTTAAGCAAACTTATACTATTTAATTACTCATCATAGCTATAGTTTGCTATAATTACCACTCACGACTAACATTATACATTAATTACGCGGGCTGACTTCGAGTTTGTATAATTAGTCATTTTTGTATATGTATAATTCGTCAGAATATACAAATGCATATGTATAATATACAATTATCTAACCTATATACATATACAATTCACCTCTCTTCCACTCTCTGCCCTCTCTCGCTCGCCTCTCTCCTCTCTCTCCCAATCTCGCTCGCCTCTCTCCTCCATCTCCCAATCTCGCTTGCTATATATACAATTATCTAACATATATACATATACAATTCACCTCTTTGCCCTCTCTCTCTCTCTCGCCTCTCTCCTCCCTCTCCCAATCTCGCTCGCCTCTCTCCTCCCTCTCCCAACCTCGCTTGCCTCTCTCCTTCCTCTCCCAATCTCTCTTGCCATATATACAAATATATATGTATAATATACAATTATCTTAACCTATATACATATACAATTCACCTTTCTCCACTCTTTGCCCCCTCTCTCTCCCAGTCTCGCTCGCCTCTCTCCTCCATATAACATGTAGCTACGAATTGTAATTATCAAACTATAGCTATGGAAAGTAATTAGACTATTTTTGAGTGGCTATATGTGAAAGTTCCCCTATATAACTAAAGCTTTTAAAGGAAAGTTTGTACATTAATATTTTTAAAAATCATTTTAAATAGAGTACTAATAGTTTATTTAAAATTATATATTTGTTTTTAAATTTTACCTTTTATTCTTTTATAATTCTCACATATTTCTCGTTCTTTACTCCACACTTGAAATTTTATCATGGAGGTGACTTCCTTTTCCGTTTTCCTTTTTTTTTTTTTTTGATATTCGAACTTCACTTGTATTATCGAAAAATGGCTAAAAATGTCTCCCCTACCCAAATCCCACTTTTTGTGAGACTACTAGATATATTTTTATTATTGTTGTTCTTTGAAACTGGATCGAAATTTGGTCTTCCCTTAAGTGGACGGCAGAATCCTTCATTGTCACGGATCACTGAGGAGAGTGTGAGTTCCTTATAAAGTCCTATTTGTCTAAAATATGTTTAATTTATGCTTCAAGCAGAATCCTTCATGGTCACGGATCACTGAGGAGAGTGTGAGTTCCTTATAAAGTCCTATTTGTCTAAAATATGTTTAATTTATGCTTCAATACCTTAAAATGAAATATCTCTAGTTTTCACCAGTGTCTCATTCTTACCGTTGTTTGACTTGAATCATCTTTTTTTTGGCCTACTTAAAATATCTAAATGCATGGTACACAAAAGTATTCCGTGTTCACGAGGAGCCAGAAGGGCCACAATTGTGATTTTAAAGACAAAAGCCTTGAACAATAAAGACCTCCCAAAATCTTGGCCCAAACATGAATACCTAATATCTGTGATGCAACATCGTTATCATCAAAAGGGCAAAAAGTGTAAAATGGAAAGGGAAAGCCAAGTTGAACAAATAAAAAAAGTGTAGCCACGTAATCAATCTTATCCTAATTTTCACATGTCTTTACATACTTCTTCAACGGTTCAATCAAAACATTCACTATAATCATCAAAATCATTTCTATTTTCTCTCTATAGCATCAACAATGGCAACTTCATTTTCCTGTTTTTGTTCTGCTCCAGTTCAATCATCTGTTAATCGGGTAAACCCCGATTTGACCCGTCAAAAACCAACTTCCGGGTCATCCTCAGCCAGATGGTGGACCCCACTCTTTGGTTGGTCCTCTGAACCGGACTATATCGATTCCGGTTCCAGCAGCAGCGCGATCAGAACCGGGCCGGTGAGGGAGATTTCGGGTTTAAAATCGGATCCAGAAACGGGTCGTTGCAGATCCAAGTTTCAGCCGGGAGGTTTCACGGAAGATAAGGCGAAAGAGCTAAGGAGAAAGACGATGCAGAGCTCTAATTTCCATGACATCATGTACCATTCTGCAATTGCGTCTCGTCTTGCGTCGGATGTTTCCGGTCGGTGACATAATCGCCGGCGAGTTAGGTGGTCGGATTTGTTGGTCCTTTTTTTTGCTGCCAAATCAATCTGTCGACTTGAAAATTGTCTATTTTCTTTTCTTTCTAGTTTTTATGTAATAAAGATGTGATGATGATTTCGAGGATTTTCCGTGGATTGTTTATCTTTGTATTATTGCTTGATGGATGCCAACGTATGATGTAATTCTTATATCTTTAAGATGGTTATGGAATGTAGATTACTATTGCCAGAAAAATTCCAGATCTTGAATTATTTTGCATATATCCTGTAAATTATTAGAAATAGTTTAAATATATCTTTCATTATAATACTTTTTGGTCTCAAAATATACTTGATGGAGTCAAATCCACCAAGATCCGTTTAATCATTTCTTCCCCTATTGAGCTCTGTTCTTTCTCTTGTATGTGACGTAGACAATCTAACCTAATGCAAGCATTAGTAGTTGAGTCTGATGCATTTGGTTCATTACTTAAAGTTCATCTCTGGAAATTGTTAGATCTATTCTTTTATTGTTCAATGAGACAACAATGGCATTGAGATGATTTGGGTCTCTGTGCAGGGGAAGGATAACTGCCGGCCCGGTGTCATTCAATCCCAACAAATGTCTGATGGGCTGCTCTAATTAAACCAACTCACTTTTGTATAATTTAAACATCGTAAAGGTACAGATCCTGTTAACCAAAATGTATAACGAATTTGTGTTACATATCTAGAAACAAAAACCAAATTACAACTTATTCTCACTGAACGTAATGTTTTGGTCGGATATTAACCTGATACTGAGCGGCTGTGCATAACTTGGGTCGCAGAGCTAATTATATGAGAAAACACAAGATTGTGGTGACAAGACTTGGAATGATTCTCAAGTCTGATATGCAATAGAACACTATAGAATAAGTCAATTCAAATTTCATCTATAACAACTTCTTGGATTGATTTATCAATCAAATAATATTCAGACTGTAACTGTTCATTGGTAACAGTGATTTACATGAAACCATTTGGGTGTAACTAAAAGTGCCCATGGGGTTTAAAGCTAGCGGTCAGTTTACATTTGTGAAGTAGTTAACCACTGCACTAGTATTTAGTGGCGCATGGGTTGGAATAAATGGTTTCTTTTGTATAACAAGAAACAGGGCAATAAGCAACCTACCTACTAACTCTAACTCCAACCCAAAACCAGAACTGGCGCTTCAATGACTAGGATCATCAGAAAAATCAGGCTCGTCAGGCTTAAAAAGTTTGGGCATGCGTAAGCTGGATTCACCAGTGTCCACACGCGCCACCTTGCCTCTTCTGGTATTAGCAGCAAATCTTGATGCCAATATTGTAGCTCCAAGTTGCTGAGTACTGCTTTCTGTTGCCTGATCCGGAGCATTACCACCAGCTACAGGATATTCGCGACCATAATCATCATCTTGGTCCATCCCTCCCCTGTAGTACAAGCTCTCTTCTCTTGATAATTCTTCCCCTAGTATTTTCCTCCTATGGCGTCTCCATGCAGCTTGTATGTAGCAAGCTCCCCATGTCCTCCATTGGTGTGAGTAGTACCGGAATGCATGTTGTAGTTTCTTACTATGGAGGCGTCTGAACTGGTTTGCAACAAACTTGAGCTTTTCAGCTCTAAGTGCAAATGCTTCAACTTCTGTAAGGCATTTCACTGTTCGAGTTGAAGATGGAAGATTAAGATTTGGGTTAGGCACCAAGGCCCATGTTAGCAATTCTTCACCACAAAAATCACCGGGATTTAGCGTAATGGAGTTGAAGAACCCTGACCTTCCTCCATTGGTTGTTGAACTCTCAAGTTGACCTCTAATTATGAAAAGCATCTCATTTACTGGATCTCCTTCGCGAACAATAAACGTGTCTTTTGTGTTCAATGATGAAACAAGGCATTCGCATATTGCATCCAAAAGCTGATCATCCATCTGGGAGAAGAAGGGGACCTGAAAAATTCAGAGAGATGTTACCAAATAGAAGAACCATATGGAAATGTTTAAAGTTCAAAACAGATGGTTGATCCAATTGAAATCAGTAGAAAGGAAGATTTTCGCTATCCCCTTTCACAACTTGGACTCTTAAAACCTGCTATGTAGATTTCGTTATCCCTGGTGCTACTTTATTGCCTGGTGCAAAAAAATGGGTGCAATGAAGGGAGTAAAGCTGGACCTACCTCAAAAATAGAATCTCTCTACAGAA